ACTATTAAATAAAATATCAGTTTCTAAAAGAGAATCAGAAAATTCTTCTAAAAATTTGTCATTAGCAGAGGCGTTATCACGTGTAATTGACATTATTTTTGAAATAACCCCCATTGATCTAAGACATTTTTCCATAGCTTTGGCAATTTCAACACCTATATGCTGACTATCCATATAGATAAAGTCAAGTAATAAACTTTTTATTGACCACAATTCACTCATATAATGGATGGTTATTGACATGAATGACTTATCATTAGTATCTGTTGTCCATATATCTGTTGTTAACGATACACGACCAGGTAAATCATTTAAATTTTTTCGAAGCCGATCACGTTCCTCTTCAAAATTACTTGCAATATGTCTTGTTATTAAGTCTGATGATGGTGCTACAAAAGAAATTTCAATTTTTTTTTTAGTAAAATTATATTTAATAAAATATAATTAAAAATATAAATTGGTATTAAAAAAAAAATACAATTAAATATTATACCTTTTGCATGGGGGTCTAAATATGTAAATATTGATCTAAGACCTTCATCTTCAATTATATAAAACGGTTGATTATGTTTAATAATCTATTTTTTAATAAGATCGGTAAATATTTTAGGATCAAAAAGTTCTCAATTATGATTTATGTTCTAGTAATTATATATACAAAAAAAATGCATAAGAAAGTGGTATCAAAAAATATACAATATAATTAAAAAAAAAAACTTACAGAATTATTATTTAATATGTCGAAAACGGAAATATCCTGTATTTTATTTGACTTTGATTTTAACTCTGGTACTTTACTTCTGTGTTTAGCAGCTAGGTGTTTTCTAAAACTTGATGTTGATTTATCCTCTGAGATTTTTAATTTTTATTACAAAATGTACATATTGTGATCACTCCATCTTTACTTTTTTTTTTCGTAAAATAGTTCCATACAAATGATCTGTAAATAAATATATTAATATATAATGTAATATTATATTATAATTATTAAATCATATATTACCTTGTGCATTTATCTTCTATAGACGATGATTCACCATTATCAAATTCATCTGAGCAGGCCGGCTCTTGAGTTTCATCATATGATAACTCATCTACTAGTTCTTGAACCTCATCACAAGACAATCCATCCATCGGCACTTGAGTTTTATTATAAGAAATTTCAAATAGGCTTGACATTATTGTAATAAAGAGGTTCTACCAATATTTTTTTTTTTTCTAAAAAGTCCTCCATCTCAAGATAATTATAAAATTGAAAAAAAAAAAAAAAAAATTTTTGCAAAATGTTTCAGCACTGTTTTATGCAAAAAGTCTCCGATAATGCTTTTCACCTTTAGAAGCAATATGCAATATTTTTTTTTTAGTATAATATAAAATTCAAGGTAACAGTATAAAAAAAAAAATGGTTTGAGATTATCGTTAAAGGGTAAGTGTTCTATGTACTCAGGGCTTTACAAGTTTTGCGTATTCGTTTAATCCTTCCTTCCTTTGCACAAGTCTCCTTTAACAACGCCTTCACACAGGCACAACAACGTTACTATGGCCACTTTACTCAAATTACTATGATCACTTTACTCAAAGATCAGAAGGTGAGGTTCGATGTCTAGTATTGAGCTTTCTATTTATTTATTTTCACGTGCACTTACATCATCGATTATACAATAGACTCTAAATTTACAATTATTCTGACTTCACGTAGATCCTTCCACATTGGTACCTACCGGCTCTGATCGGGTAGTATCGGTTCGGGTCCATTTCAAGACCCGAAGTGTCGGTTCCAAAAAAAACTATAGATCCGATTCGAATCGTCGGTTCGGTTCCGGTTCGGTTCCGGGTTTCGGTTCTAGTTTGAGGAACACTACCAGCACTATGAAAAACTCAGCTAGCATTATTGAACAGTAGATTCTGCATAAAAAGTTCACTGATGTACATATGATCCAACCAATCATATGAGCGTATGATCACAAATTACATAAAACTATGTTACCGAAAACTTGCGTAAAATTACAGTAATTTTACAATACTAAGTTGACCACATAATAATTTTGCTATAGTATAGTTTGCTGGTAATGTTGCTTAATGTCGGCCTATCTCCGGGTTTATTCTGACCCTGACGTTAAAAATTGCTGAATTTTAATTGCGCGGCTAATCTTATCCTGTATACGTATCGTTGTACGTATTTCGATCACATGCACATGCTGTCATATACGAATTTATCGGCCTCGATCCAGATGAAATACCCGAGTGCCGCCAAAAGAAAATATGGAATTATTTATCATTATACATTGCATGCGCGCGTTACTAATCGAGATTATATATATTTTTAATACGAATATGTAATACAGCATAAAAATCGCTGACTTATTTTTGCATTAAATATCCTCCGAATCACTCCGATTACTAATTCATAAATATTTAGATTGGCAAATTCTAGAAAATCAAATCTATCATATCTATCATATCTATCGCTAGTGTATTACAATTATAATTTTTACCTATATCGGTATTTTAAAAATATGTATAATTATATATGTAATAAATATAATTTGTCAAAAAATTCTGTTTTTTAAATTAAAACATAAAATTTGACAATTGTTCGAGGCAAAATTTTAGTCGATTCCCGTATTTTAAATATCAATTATACTTAAATTCATATAAATTGCTTATGTTAATTTTATAAAGCATACTTCACATTCTATAATATCAAAGTAGATATAATCAAAAAAAAATTGTATAATCAAAAGTTTATATATAAGTTCAATCAAATGAACAGAAGCATGTGTCAAAAAAGTTTTTAATAAAGTGAAAATGTAAATAGACCGTTTTTTAATCCTTTTTTAAAAGGAGAATACCTCTTCATATCCAAGAATTCGAGCTGCAACAACCTCCTAATACACATACACGCACCTCTAGAAACTCAAAACTATGATGCATGGTATGAATGAAATTATATGAAGATACATAGAATTCAAATTCTATTCAACCGTTTGTTAGACTGGCATTTCAAAAAAACTTTGGTGTTGCGTTAAACTGTTGTTATGAATATGGTTTGCACCACCATTTCCAGAAGCAAAAAGTGGTAATAAAGTCGACCCACTTTGAAGTCCAATAATCCAGCCTAACTTTTGGGTAAATTCATCAAGAGCTTGTCGGAACATACCATTAGAATCGCGATCATGTTGAGCGAGGCTAAACAAAAAAAATAAAATAAAATAAGTAAAGAAGAATAACCAGCTTATGTACAGTAACTGATATAATAATATAAACATACTTTTTCGCCCATTCATTAACAACCGTTTGGCCGTATATTTTTCCTTCCCTTAGTTTGCTCGCGGCATTAATGATAGCTTTTTTCCAAAAATTAGCCAATTTGACATCTAAGTCATGTTTAAGTTCGTTGTGTGAACTGTTATCCCATTCCGGTAATCTATGAGCATAATTAGTAGCCAGATGAAGAAAGGAGAATGTAGTGATTGGAAATTCGTCAGGTGATGTGAAATGGGCAGCGTAATCTAAAATGGCACCCTATGAATAGAATTGAATCTGAATATTAAATAAAATTAATAAATAATATTTCACTATTAAATATTCGGAAACAAACCAACCTTTAGCTCTATAAGGGCAGGTTTGACACGGTTGAAACTATAATCATCTTTTGATTGTCCCCATTTTGTATAAGGAAAACTTTCCAGATATTTCTTTTCCATACTCGTCAAAATATTCGTTACAGATTGAATTGTTGGTCGAGGAATGTTTGAGGCGATTTCCGACTGCAAATTTGGATGAGCATCTATAAGATTATTTATCAGTGATAACAGTTGTGGCTTATCAAGGGTCGCTAAATCCAATCAAAACGGTGGTTAGAAAGAATTTTATTGTGATAATGTAATATTGAATATTGAAAATCTTTAGTACCTAAAAGTTTACTTAGAGGAAATTCTTTCTCATTGCTCATCTTTGTTCTCTTTGCCAAAGAATATTCTTTTTCCATTTCTTGTGTAGAATGAGAGGCCATTTTGGGTGAGCTTGGAGGACTTTTGCATTCACCCATTGATTCATCAAAGTCGTAAGCGCCAGGCTTTCGTTTTCCTATAACTAAGTAAAAAAACAAATAAAAACCAAATAAATTCGTGCTTGGTTACAGGTCAAAAGTTGAGAGATATGAAAAACTTACCTTTTGGAACTTCAGCTGCACCAGCAGACGTAACTCTTTCTCTGTAATGTGACTTTGGTACCATTTGGGCATGATGATAGAAGGCGCCGCTTGGATGAAAAAGATTTTGTTGAATTCTGTTCAACGGAAAGCATGGAGAATTGTCACTCATATTTGCGGTTGATATCGAGGTATGAAAGATAAAACGGTTTTAGATAATAAAAACGAGGTGAAAGGTGAGTTAAACTATGAACAGTGGGTAAGTGGCTTTATCAGCTTTTATCCCAATTTAAATGGTAACCGAAACTAGAGAAGGGTTAGACTGAGTTTGTAGTAGTTACTAGTTGTACCGTTCTATCAACTATTGGAAAAAAAATGTACGTGGATAAAGTTTTTCAGCTACAGCTTATGTAGGAATTAAAAGTAGGGCTAGGCTGCATACGTACGACAGAAAATCAATGCTATTACACGTGATTTACGCGTATTGTTCCCATTGTCTTACGTTTACTTTTAAGCAACCACGGGAACTTCGAACTCAATGTAATCGTATTGAATGTTTGTGTCCCAGAGGAAGACAATCTCCGGTAATCGAATATAGATAAATGGTAAAGGACGTAACTTTATCGCATTCTATTTGTTAATAAAAAATTATAAGTTGTGGATCAGCGATCAATGAAAATAATTGGCTGATAAAGGAAATCTGGGCTTCTTGTAGATCCACTAACCCTTAAATTAGAAACATACGTAATAATTAGGCAGAATAGTCACGTTGTTTTCGGTATCAATTCGTGTAACATGGTTCGGTTAAACTAGAATATTGATCTACATCCTCTACATCCTCTACATCCCAGGTTAAAAAAAAAAAAAAAATTCAATTTTTTGAATTTCGATCAATTTATCATTCACACCCATCATGGCCGGAGATCATGATAGTAAGGCATTACTAATGATTCTTTTTGATTAGATCAATTATTTATCTTTTTGCTAATTTTAGTTTTTTAATTTAAAAATTGAATTTAAAATTTCAATTCAAAATTGAATTTAAATTTTAATTCAAATTTTAATTTAAAATTTTAATCGCTTTTAAAAAAAATCAATCATTTCCATAAATTTAAAAGCTTTTATAAAAGATCCAGCGATCGAGCGTTGGGGATATATGCGTGATGAAACGATGAAATATTTTCGATTCAATCGTCGTAATACCCGAATTGCAATTGTTGGTTGTGTAATTATTCCTGTAGGCATTTATGTCCTAAGTTATGCATGGGATGTATGTTTTTTTTTTTTTTTTTTTTAATTTTTTTTAAAACAATTAATTTTTAAATAATTTATATTTTTTTTCAAAAAGTATAAAGTGGATTGGAATAACTCATTTAAAAAACCTTCGTCAGTTTACAAAGAAAAAAACTAACAAAATTAAATTTAAGGGTGTTAAAATACAATTGTGACAAATTTTTGAACACAATAAAGCTTGTTATCTAGCAATTATGTTAACTCGAGTTCGATAAATGATTCATGGTTACAAACATGAATTGTAAAATGTATGCAACTCGAAATTATATTAGGAATGGGTTCAAAAAGATTCAATTTGTTGGTTTAATTCTATTAGCCAACAATTAAATTTATTAATTAAAAAAATCAATACAATACACCCTAAGAGAAACCAGTTTGTATTAGTTGCTTCTGGCGGATTTTTTAAACTTCTTTCTAGTGGCAGGCAAGTTACAACATTTCGAACTTGGATATGGTGATGACCATAATCTCTAGCTATTCATCACGTTTCTAACACTTCATTTTTTTTGCCTATGCATTAAAATTCTTCAAATAAAGCGATGAATGAATTTCTTTTTCTTTCGTATGTTATCACAATACTAGTTTCTTTTTCTCTAATTATACTTTTCATTTTGTCAACCAATTTCATACAAACTCTAATATATACATCAGGAAAGTAACCATTTATACATGCTACTACTCAATCCAACTATATATGATCGACACCTTCTTTATGTATAAATAAGTGCTTGTATGAACTTAGTATACAGAGTTATATCAATATTGTCTTATTATAATTATTAAAAAAGCACTTGCTTGACCATATCCACAACCATAAGAGACAATAGCGATTCACAGGTCAAAAGTTCATCGTTTATGCAACTATTCTTATTGCCAGTACTACGAGCAAACGGTCCTTATCTTATATATTGTATCTTTATATTTATTTAGCAAAAAATTTGGTTAACTATAACTATTTGTAATAATATAGTATTTTTAAGCCAATCGTATTGGTCAATATAAATCAGGTGATATGAGTATCTTTTGAAAGAAACTTGGGGAATTTTTATCGTCTTCTATCCCTAAAATTACTATCTCTTCGATCGTCCCTTCTATCATTATTTCTGTCACGTTCTCGATCCCTATCACGACGATCGTTTCCGACACTACGATAGCTGTTCCTTGCCCGATCCCGTTCTCTATTTCGATCTTTTAAGATACTGCCTCGTCTTTCAGGAGCTCGTGGAGGTGCACCATGGAAAACACCCACATCCAAAAAGTCTCCGATAACAAATCTTGCATCGTCAAGATTTATGTCATCATCAGAAGTTGATGTCATATTATGAACCGTACCCAAATCTTTGAATGCATATTTTCCACGCAAATTATCAATGTAAACTAGTTTGAATGATATTCGTGCATTTGGACGAGTTGATTCAAAGTTCACTTCTTTAAAAAGATTAGCAATTTCTTTCAACGTAGCATCTTTCCTACACATATTTACAAAATAAAAAAAATTAACTAAATAATTATATTTGCTTAAACAAATTTGTCAATTAAATTTACCACGTGTATAGTTGTATTTCATTCTCAGTAGGGAGATGGTCTGGCGTATAATCGTCAGGCCTGTCAAAAAAAAATATATTTCAAGGTAAATATCATTTTGAACTTATTCATCTAGTAAAAATGAAACTTAACGACGTCTTTCACCGGTGATGAGCGCCTTGCTGCCAAAACATTCGCAATAAAAACGGTACCGTCTATAATATTAAAAATAATGCCAGCAAATTAATTACGTTTGAATATAATTCTTAAAACATTCTAGGTTGG